CCCTGCAGGTAGTTGAAGGATGCTATTAAATCCCTGACTCAAGTCTTTTCTTCTCCAGACTAAGCAAGCCCAGTTCTTTCAGCCTCTCCTCATAAGCCCACTAACCATTTTTATTGCCCTCCACTGAACTCTCTCCAATTTGCCCACGTCCTTTTCATAGTGGGGGGCCCAAAACTGGATACAGTACTACAGATGTGGCCTCACCGGCATCAAAAAGAGGGGAATAATCACTTTCCTTGATCTGCAGGCAACATTCCTACTAATGCAACCTGGACAAAGGAGAAGAGGTTGATGTCATATATTTATATTTCACAAGTTTTGCTTTGAACAGTTTCAGGTGCAGTTTCCCAGAAACCCTTGCACCTCTCCATGAAACCTAGCAGGCTTCGTGGCCTCAGCAAGGGGCTACCATGCTGGCTGTTTTCATCCTGCCACACCTTAACACACACACAACACGAGTTTTGCTTTGAACAGTTTGTGGTGCAGTTTCACAAAAAACCCTAAACCTATCTCCTTGAAACCTGGCAGACTTCGTGGCCTCAGCAGGAGCTACCATCCCTGAAATTTTCATCTTAATCAGGCAAGAAATGACATAGTTATAGGCATTTCAGTGATTTCCCATTATAACCTATGGCCGAATTACCAAAAGAGTGTTGAAACTCTGAAACAGATTTGGCTTAATTGAAACAGCACAGTGGTCCGAAATATGGAAACGAATCATTGCCTACCAAAATGGCCAAATTCAAAACTGAAATGAAATGCAGCCATTTCACACAGCCCTACTAAACAGCCATAGCTCTTTCAGTCTTTTCTCATAAGTCATGCTTCCCAGATCCCAAATCCTTTTCGTTGCTCTTTCCAAACTGTTCACATCCTTCTTTAAATGTGGACCCAAAACTGGATGCAGTACTCTAGGCGAGGCCTCACAAGTGCTGAATAGATGTACATAACAGCCCTTCCATACAGCACTTCAGCCGTTCAGATCTTCAAAACTTCTGCTCAGATACTGCCTAACGCTGGAAGTGCCCAAGACCCTCAGTTTCTGAAACAGTCCCCAAGACCCCTAAAATGCTGCATCTCGGTGTGTGTACCCAGTAGCTAGGGACAGAAGTTACACATAAACCAGTTTAAGTAATCAAAAACTGGTTTAAAACTGTAATAGAAGGGAAGTTCAATGCACATAATATAGCAAATGGCTGAAACTGGTTTAAGTCTGATATACTACATTCGACCAGGTTTAACTGATTTGGGTCAATCTGGTTTATGAAACTTCTGTCCCAGATCCCTTCCTGGTTTAAGTTACATCAGAGTTCCCCAGCATCTCAGCACTGTTTAACCCCAGGCTGGGCTGTCCTGTCTGTTCCAGCAAAGAAGGGTTGCGGGGAGGGGAAGAGAGGCAGGGACTGCCTACCTCCCCTCCCTCCCTCCCTCCCCCAGGCAAACCCCAGCTGGAGTCTGGGGCCAGGGAGGGGGGTTAAACCCCACTTCCCCTGAGTGCAGAGCTTCCCTGCCCTGCTAAACTTACTGAAAGTTACTGCTGGTTGCCACTGTGGACTGCAAAGCCCAGATGTACCTGGAAGCAGGAAGAGGAAGTGATGAGCAACCCTGCAGAGTCCCACTTCTCTGATTTTGGACTGTAAATCCCAGAAACCTCAAAGGCAGCAGAAAGAGGAAGTGAACACACAGCCCATGCTAGCTACATGCCAGAGAGCAGTGCTCTAGTGCCCCCACAGCTTCTGGCCTGAGCCACTGCAGGCATGTCGCTGTGTTTCCCCAAATCAAAAGTGAACGTCTGTCAAGTTATTTCTCAGTTTAAGATCTGCAGCTTAGATTAACCTGCAAAACCAGAACTGATTTCAGCCTTGAGCTTTTTGACTGTCTGCACTTAGCCAGTGTGTCTGCATCTGGGAGTATGAACAACTACCCACATCCTGACCTTACTGAGATGCTCAGCAACTGAGTCCCACTGAACTTCTCAAACAAACTTTCCCCTTTCTATTTCATGGCAGGGTCCATTTCAGTAATTGCTGGACTGGGTCTTACACAAAATCAGATATGCCTTCCACAAAACACAGCAAAAAGGAGGTGATACCAGCTATCACATGGGATGTGAAAGAACCAGGTTTAAATCATTCCTCTGGTCAAGTTGAAGCAGAGACTAAAACCATCCAAGTCTATAGGGAATTCAAAGTGGTGGGGGAGCTGCC